CGCCCTTCAGCCAACCGTAACCTCCTGGCTCCTCCTGCTGGGAAAAATGCTCCCCACAAGGCTAGACCTCCAAACCCAACAGTTTCCAGGTTTCCAGGGAGTTTCCAGGAAAACGCGCTCGCCTATCAAAGAGAGGGTGGTTCCAGTGCTGAAGGAAGATCCAGGTCATGCTGTACATTGGTTCTAGTGATTACGAACGATGGAAGCATCCGTTTTTTTTATTGACTTTCAGAAAGTTAATGCACAATCAGTGTTAGACTCTTATCCATTGCCAAGACTGGTTTATCTCATTGAGCGGGTTGGTCTAACCAAAATTAATTATTAAACTTGATCTCTGTAAAGGGTACTGGCAAGTCCTGCTTACTGATGCAGCAAAGCCCATTACTTCAGAACTCTTCAAGGATTGTGGCAGTTTACTAGGATGCCTTTTGGACTCAACGGAAGCTATCAGAGCTAGGGAGCAGCCAACGACCCAGAAGTAGGTCAAGTCCTTTTCGGGCTTGGTGGGATGGTACCGGCGGTTCATCAAGAACTTCTCTGCCACTCACTAGTACCAAAAAGATAAAAAGAGTTTGGGGAGAGGAACAGGGGGCAGCTTTCCTGGATTTGAAGGAGACTGTTTGTCAGGAGCCAGCATTGCAGAGTCTTAACTTTAGCTTGCGCTTCACAGTCCAGATTGATGCTTTTCACAAAGGGATCGGTGGAGTGCTACTGCAGGGAGAAGGTGAGGACAGTAGAAAGCTCTTCCCACGGGAGACAAGATACTCCACTGTGGAGTTGGAATGTCTCGCCATGAAATGGACTATAGACTCATTTAAATACTATATATTGTACAATTGCAGGTTGAAGAGTGTGTTTACTGAATATTTGTGTCTTGATGGTGATGATGTTCTCCTGTGGTTTGCACTGGATGAGCATGACCCATAGTGTTTTAAACATGAAGGAGATGAGATGCTGGGAAATGCTGTATCAAAAGAAGTATGAGATGCTGTATATTGTACCCAAAATAAGACTAAAATAAACTGAGCGAAAACGAAACTGTGGTCCTGGGTTTCTGTGTACACCTGAGTGGACGCCGCCATTTGACATCTCGCCAAATTACCGTTTTTTTATTTCATGGTTCATGAGCCACTGGCAAACACATTTCCCACAACTGTGTGTGTTCCTTTTTTAAATGTGCCCATGAGAGTGTAGCAGGTTATATAGAAGTCACAGATGTTTGCACTTCCACTAGAAAACATCTGTTTCCTTGAAGTGGATGATGAACAATTTAGTCTTCAGACATTGCAGCATTCAAAAGTATTTGAAAGTGTAAATGAATCCCTCCATAAAATGATGATGAGCACCTGCTTTTAAGGTGAATGTTTGGTGTAAAAGGACAAAAATGTCAGTTTTAATGAGATTTCTTTGTTTATGATGGCAGACTAATCAAGCAAGTAGGGGCCAAGATGGAAAATAAAGCACTCCCCATATAAAAGGTGCCAGTGTTAAATACTGTAAGGGGATGCCATGGATCACGTCTGTGGGGGCTTATATGAGAGTTAGCATGTCCTTCTTCACTTTTCAGCATTCTATCCAACCAAAAGAGATCATTTTTTGTAATACCAGCCAAAAATGTCATGAACAACCCAGGTTCTCTGTTTTAGGTTAGTTTTCAACAGTCTCTGTGTTGACAAAATGCCATTGTCATAAGAGTTTTGATAATCATCATAGCCCCGGAATAATTTACCTATTCATAATCTATCACAACAGGATCCTTAGAGGTGACCTGAGAAAAAAAAAAGCTTCAAAGATATTACGTGCTGATTTCAAGTTTCGTCAGGTTCCCTTATTTCAGAAGCCTGAGAAGAGAGAGTATTTAATATAATGAAAATCCAAACAACATTCCTCTCACACAAAAAACTTTTGTCAAGAATTTCCACATTTTGGCCTCATAGCTTTGCTTTCTGTTAAACTTTTACAGTCATACAGGTATAGGTATAACTACAGGTACAGGTATAACTATCTCTTTTACACCCAAATGTCTGATTAAAATCAAGTATTTTACCTCTCATATCACTGCCAAAATTAAATGAATCCCAATAATAATAATAATAATAATAATAAGAGGAGGAAGAACCACAAGAATGCATTATTAAAGACACCTTATTGTATTTGTGGCCATCCATAATTATCGTTTTCAATCATTTTTGCAGAGAGCTAGTTAAGTGAGTTAGAACAAAGGTTGGCGCAGACAGAAAGGATGCTCTACTCCATCCTCACCCAGCTGGATCCGATCACTAACTGGTGAGTCATGAGTCAAATACATTGTGTTCCCAGGTCATAATAAATCCGGTTTGCACTTTAGGTGTGCTCTGAAATGTTATCTTCAGCTCACAAACCGGTGGCTCTGTACAAACGGACATGATGCATCATGCCAAACATCATGTTGTATTCCTCTGTTAAAATCAAAGCAAACATGCATCACTTTCGTTCCCTCCTTGTTTGACTGCAGTGTTAAGTCAGTGGCCCAGGACCAGAAAAATTAGATTATGTCCCAGCTCCAGACAATCCGATACTGGACTGTCCCCCCCTGAACGTCAACGGTGGGTTGGTGACCGGCCCATCCCACTTTTTCAAAGTGGACTTTGTGAGAAGCAGATAGAGACTTTGAGATAAACTTTAAAACACTGAAACCTAAATCACAGAGTTGAAAATGAGCTACCGGTGCAGGCTCACTTTTTGTCCCAGTCCATCTTTCGTCAGAGTAAACCGCAGTTTTTTACTTCAGCTCGATCAGGCTTGTTTCCCACAAAATATATTGCATTTAATTTGGCAGTTCTGAATGTGCTTGGGTAAGTAAATCCACCTGTATACAAAATGCCTCAGTTTCAGTGTGATGATCAAGGCCAACAGTTTGAAAATGAGATCGCAGGGGTGGTAAAAGTTGCACCGTACTGAGATATAATAGGGTAAATTCAGCATTTAAAACGTCATCAATTTCCTAAGTAAATATAGTTCTAACAATGCTTCTGTTATAAAACGTTGTTGACAACAACATCTACGTTCTGATCCACCCTAGTCGGCTGTCTGGGGTGGCTGGTCCTCTCAGGGGTTGGGTGGGCCCTCTGCTTCAGACTTGGTAGGGTGGGTGTTCCTAGGTTAGTTCTCAACAGTCTCTGTGTTGACAAAACGTCATTGTCATAAGAGTTTTGATAATCATTATAGCCCCGGAATAATTTACCTATTCATAATCTATCAGAACAGGATCCTTATTGTTGACCTGAATAAAAAAGCTTCAAAGACATTACGTGCTGATTTCAAGTCTCGTCAGGTTCCCTTATTTCAGAAGCCTGAGAAGAGAGAGTATTTAATCTAATGAAAATCTAAATAACATTCCTCTCACACCAAAAACTTTTGTCATGAATTTCCACAATTTGGTCTCACAGCTTTGCTTTTGGTTAAACTTTTATAGCCATTTACCCAATTTTATACCAAAGTAAGTCTTTCAATTCAAACTATTTCACTTTTCAGTGAGATAAGAAACTGAACTATCTCTTTTGCACCCAAATGTCTGATTAAAATCAAGTATTTTACCTCTCATATCACCTCCAAAACGACCTTTTCTGTTTGAAATAGGGAGTAAATGAATACCAATAATAATAATTATAATAATAAGAGGAAGAAGAAGAAGAATATATAATGATATATAATGACATATTAATCATTTTGTGATTAAGCCTATATGATTTTTTCCCGGCGTTACTACGTCTTCAACTTTTTTTTGTTTTAATGCTATTTCTTTTTATATAGTGCTTTTATTGGGGGGGCTTTTATCCCGAAAAGTTGTATTCCGGAAGTGATTGTACGAGCTAGCTGCGGCTATTTGGAATTGGACACTCGTGTACTAAGCCTCAAATTACATTATTTACCATGCACCCTGCTTGACAGCTTCTTATTTGTACTGATGTCCAGTCTCTGTTTCCAGTCTCGTCTTTATTTGGTACCGACGCAGCTTGTTTGTGCCTAGTTTTTCTTTCTTTCCGGTGTTTACGGGGCAAGATGGTTTTGTCAACATCACAACAAGTCGCCTTAGCATTCACGGGCGTGCTTTTCACGTTTGTCGTCTTGCCACGAATATTCGGCGTTGGAGGTGGCTCAGCTGTGAAAGAAACGAAATTCGAACACCGTTACAACAGAAGAGGTACGACAGACTTGTCCTGTGTTACCACATTAACATGGTAGATATGTTCTGTTCCAATTTTAGTATGTGTGCTACCGAAGTAACACGGTAGATGTGTTCTGAATGTGGCCTACGGCTAATTGTTAATTGCCTTGAACTCCCAGGGTCGCAATTTACATCGAGGGATACAAGTTTGATTTAGGAAAATAAAAAATTCCCGAGAAAAAGAGGGTTAATTCGTGCAAAAATGAGAAAAGAATTTGTTCACAGATTAACATTTCCTGCCATTTATTAAAGCTACAGTCCACTCAAAATGCACAAACTCCACGCTCAAGTGGCACCAGAGGGTTAGCTGACAGAGATGAATTAGCTCATTTATTGATAATTTCAAGGTAAACTAATGGTTATTTCGTATATATTTGTGGTTTACATACATGGCTTATCTATTTTTTAATCAAATATTTTTTTGTAGTCAATGCATTATAAACTCTATTGAGAGTGGTATCAAAATATAATCCCAGTGTAGTCTTTAGACTTCTTTTGTTTATTTATTTTTTTACTTTTGCCCCTTTTCATTCCCTTGCCTTAGTTCCTGAGCTGTCTGGTATGGTCCAGTAGATATTAACTAACACTTGGCTGTACAGATTTATCGTCCCCCCTTTTTTAAAAATTCTGTAACAAGTCTTATTTTAATTGATTGAATATACTTGTTGGAATAGTATTTAAATGTAGCCATTTATTTCAGAGAAAAGAGTCTCAATGTTGATCCTTGTCAACACGTAAAAGTTAGTTTGCTCATCGGTGTGAAATTGCTGGGTGCCCATGACACTTGCGCAGAGAGTAGGAATTGACAGCGGCCCCTCTCCTTCATTTTGTGTATGTGCTTGTCTTTCTTTACTGACTTTTGGACATTTTCCACCAGTAACATCTCAGTTTTATGTGAAATTACTCGACTCGCCTTGGCTCGGTTGAGATGGTTTTCCACCTCAAATTAATAATAGAAATGATTGTTCGTTGTTGGTACGCTTTTAAACTGGGCAGTCATTATGAGTGGGTTGAATAAATGGCGTATCTAGTCATATGATACCCTGGCCAATCAGTGGCCTTCAGTTTTTTTTTTTGACTCAGCTTCCTGACCTAATTGAAATGATAATAATGATTGAAATGCCCCCAAAATTCAATTTTATTTTAATTATGTCACTGGTGTGAGTTTGCCCTAGTATCCTGTTATATCAGTAACATTTCATCCTCTTTTACGTCTTTTTAAACGCTGCAGGCCCGGGCCCTGGTGCAGCAAAAGGCCAACCCATCAATGTGAATGCCCCCGGCTCACATCAAACTCCTGAGAGCATCCAGCAGATGAAGAAACGCATGGAACAGGAGCTGAAGAATGACAAATTCAAATCCAACAACAACAAAGGCTATGTGTTCACACTGATGCCTCTTTATGCCATTGGAGTGGGAGTGTTTGCAGCCTATAAATTTTTGAAGGTGACTTGGTGTGATGGACTACACAGTGAAGGATAGTCAGGAACAAGCTGAATTCAATTTTCTTATTCAACCCCAAATAATCCAAATTAATTTGATTGAAAATCATGCTAAAAATGGGCTTGAACAGAGGTAAAAGTACCAAAACTCTACTCAAATAATTGGTAACAAAATTACAATAAACTCAAACAAACTGAAAGGTAAATGGTGTCTGGTCAGCACACAAACAAAGACACAAGGGGGAAAATACAAAAACCTAACTGAAACTTATACATCAAAAAACAATTCTTCCCATATGATTCCAGAGCGTGGTACTTTACAATTGTCAGCCTAGCCTTTTGGCCACCTGCTGCCTCCTAAGCCGAGGGAGTTTGAACAGCTGTGGCAACTAAAAGAATAAAACAGACAACCAAACTAATTAAACTACTAAAACATGACAAACCAGTGTAAACTAAAATGGGTAGTGTCAGAGTAAATAAACGTGTTCCAAACAGAACTGGTTATGAATTTCTCTCTAAATTAAACATCGATTAAAAAAATAATTTAATTAATAAATAAAAATATATATATACGGTATATATATTTAGGGATGTCCCGATCCAGCCTTTGCACTTCCGATCCGATACCGATAGCAGCCTATCAGCGCATGTATTACAGTTTAAAGTTGTTTAGCCTACTTACTTAGTTGTCAGACTCATGTTGAACATGGATTTACTCTAATCACAACTTAATGGTTAGGACACACCCTGTGGGTTAGGAGATGCTAATGCTCATGTGGGATCGGACTTTAAAATAAAAAAAACTCGATCGGGAGTCTGGATCGGCATTTTCTCATGCCGGCTGATATCGGATCGGGCCAAGCCTAATATATGCATATACATATATATTTGAATGTTGTATATAGGTCTGTTTATTAAAAGTTTCCACATTTGTGTGGCTGTAGATACAGCCTTCACACTCAGTTTTGGTAGCAATTGCAAAAAAGCCATTTTCTCTCTTCCTATTTTGCAGATAAGGTCTTCAGATGACAAGGCACAGAAGGAGAAGTTCTCAAAAGGGGCCAAAAAATCCGTCGAGGCAGGTGTGTCTCGCATTATTTAAGACACCTCATTCTATTCGTGGCCATCCCGATGTAATTATCGTCTTGAATTATTGTCACAGAGAACCAGTTAAGTGAGTTGGAACAAAGGTTGGCGCAGACAGAAAGGATGCTCAACTCCATCCTCACCCAGCTGGATCCGATCACGAACTGGTGAGTCATGAGTCAAGTACAGTGTTCCCAGGTCACAATAAATCCTGTTTGCACTTTATGTGTGCTCTGAAATTTGATCTTAAGCCCACAAACCAGTGGCTCTGTACAAACGGACATGATGCATCATGCCAAACATCATGTTGTATTCCTCTGTTAAAAATAAAGCAACCGTGCATAATTTTCGTTCTCTATTCTTGTTTGACTGCAGTGTTAAGTCAGTAGCCCAGGACCAGAAAAATGAGATTATGTCCCAGCTCCAGACAATCCGATACTTGATGAAGAAGAGAGGAATGGACTGTCCGCCCCTGAACGTCAACGGTGGGTTGGTGACCGGCCCATCCCGCTTTTTCACAAAGTGGACTTTGTGAGAAGCAGATAGAGACTTTGAGATAAACTTTTAAACACTGAAACCTAAATCACAGAATTGAAAATGAGCTACCGGTGCAGGCTCACTTTTTGTCCCAGTCCATCTTTCGTCAGAGTAAACCACAGTTTTTGGCTTCAGCTCATTCAGGCTTGTTTCCCACAAAATGCATTGCATTTAATTTGGCAGATCTGAATGTGCTTGGGTAAGTAAATCCACCTGTATACAAAATGCTTCAGTTTCAGTGTGATGATCAAGGCCAACAATTTGAAAATGAGATCGCAGGGGGGTAAAAGTTGCACCTTACTGAGATATAATAGGGTAAATTCAGCATTTAGCATGTCATCAATTTCCTATGTAAATATAGTTCTAACAATACGTGACCATCCCCGAGCGCGATTCGTTTCACACCAACACCACATATTTTGCATATTCAAACCTACACATAGACGCATGTTCTTTACACATGCAAAAATAAGCACGATGCTTATAATGCTGTAGCTGTACCGACCTGTAGTTTTGTACCTTAGTATTAAGAGTTTTTCTTTCAATTTTGGTATCATTTTACCAGACTGTATTCTCCTAATATTTCACTGGGTTGTCTAAATGCTATTAAGCAAACTGTAAACGTGCTTTAACAAGGTTTTCCTTCAGCTTTGGAGTCTGTTGTGTACATACAGACCATGACTTTTTTGAATGCATTATTTGCATTTGCTTTTGCATTATTTGTTTGAACCTTTTTCACAACAACACTGGTAGCAAGGACATTAACAAGCTTTTATTTGCATTTTGGGGTTGGACGGGTTCCTACTGATCTTGGGTGAAAATTTCATGTCAATAGCACCTTTATAAATAAGCGACAAGTTCAATGTTTATTTTGAGCAATGTATATCATGAGAAAGGAAGTCTGAAATCATAGGAATAAAAACCTGCTATTTCCTGTCTTTCAGAGCCTTCATATAAACGTAACCTGGACGACCTCATTGAGTCTCTTGGTGCTAGCGACTCTTTGGCAGCAGAGGACAATCAGCCCTCTTTAGAGACGGCAAAGTCTACCGACACAGTGTTCGAAAGGCTTTCAGGTGACGAACACGACAGCCAAACAGAAGATGAAAAGATGAAGAAACTCAGACCTGAAGAACCTGAAGGGGAAACAGCAGCCGAAGGAACGAATGTCGAGGCAGATGATGAAGAAGGGCTCGTGGTGCCTTTAGAAGACTTGTGTCAGACAAACATTGAGGAAATTGGCGCTGGGGAGCCTGCAACCAACCTCAGGCGCCGCAACAGACCAGAATAACCTCCCTGCAGGACTCACTGTAGAATATGTGTCCGAATATTATGAATATTTATTTTCTCAAACGCACTCATTCCATAAAGTAGTTGGCATATTATTTTTAAAAACTGTAATGCATTCATTCAATAAGACAAGAAAGTTATCTAACAGAAAAAATATAATAGATCCTTTTTGTGTTCCATACACAAAGGTCAGCAGTGGAAATACCCAAAGTCACTGATGGTGTTGTGAAAGTCAGAAAAGTTTAATTTCCTGTTAGAGAAAAGTTAGTGAAGGGAATCTCATTTGAATGAAAGGATATGTGCAAATAGGTGACAGCATGAAAGATTTCTACAAGGACGCTTTTCTGATTTCAAAACTCAAAAAATCCCCCTCAGTCACGGAAATTTATACAAACTGTTGGTTGACGTTGAACCCCAGCATAGCAAACCTACAGCAGTCTTTGTGTGGGCATGGAAATAGAGCTAGGATAATCGTTACTCCTTAGTGGTTGCTTATTTTATAGAAAAAAAAGATGATCCAATCGTTTTTTGCCAGTTAAAATAACAAAGAAAAACATTTTAAATATCTAAAAGAAAAGATCTTGACAAACGTCTTGCAGCACTAATTTTAGATATTAGTTTTGCAGATTGTCTGTGTTATGTGACGTTAATAACAACTTGAGTCACCCTGGGGGATGTATGCTTGTGTAAACCAGACTGTCTCTGCATTTGAACCTTGTACCATCATAGATTCACACCACCTTGCTTTTGGAGTGGCAAGAATCCATTAGGTTTTTGGAGGAAAAGAGCCTTGACAGTCTCTTTGAACTCTTACTATGGAAAAAGTGTGCTCCCATTTTCTATTTCAAATATTCTCTCTATTCTGATTCTGAAGGGATTCACAGACGCTGCTGGATGATATTCAGATTTCAGAATATAATGTCAAGGAGGTTGGAACATGAGCTTGTGGCATATTGTTTATACGTTGAAACATACCTAACATAATTTTTGTGTTTGTTAACATTGTGACTGCATGAAAATGACAATCATTCACTGAACCACAGATGGAATCTATCTTCTTTTAATTAGTTGTCAATCATTTACCACGTCACCGTTACTTTGTATTTTCATATAATAGTTGTGAGGTCACCTGTGAGGCGTTTAAAGCAGATGTTAGTAACTATACAAGTACAGCATGAATACTGAAACACGGCAATTATCCCATTAAATCTAGCAGTCATCGTAACCTTAAGCCCTTTGTAATAGAATTGATCTTGTAATGATGTGGGATCAAATCATTACACATTGCAGGATAATGATAAAAGTGAGAGGGTAATTAATAACCGATTATTTTTATCGATGAAGTTAGGTGTACGTTTGCCATATATTGTCACTTTTGCCCTCGAAATTGTGATACACGCCTTTGATCAATTTATTTGATCAGTAATTTGTATCTTTGTTTTTGGCTATGTGCAGTCTTAACTTGCCTGTATCAAATGTTGTGTGTTTCAAGTGGGGGCTGAGTGAACAACTCAACTTGCCGTAGTAGACAATAAAATAAGATAAAGATAAATAAAACAGCTCATCTTAATTGCTTGAAACTTTTTTATTTATTGACTGGGGTGGTGGTCTCCTTATTTAAAAAAGGGAACGTAGAGTGGTCTCCAACTACAGGGGAATCGCACTCTTGAGCCTTGTTGGGAAGGTTTATCCAGGCGTTCTAGAGAGCCCGTCGGATAGTCAAACCTCGGATTCAGGAAAAGCGGTGTGGTTTTTGTCCTGGCAGTGGAACGATGGGCGAGCTCTATATCCTCAGAAGGGTGTATAGGAGTTCACCCAACCAGTCCACATGTGTTTTGTGGACTTGAAGAGGGCGTTCGACCGTGTCCCTCGTGGAGTCTTGTGGGGGATACCAGGGATACCAGGCCCTTTGTTATGGGCTGTGAGGTCCCTGTACGACTGGTGTCAGAGCTTGGTCCGCATTGCCGGTAATACGTCGGACTTGTTTCTGGTAAGAGTCCATTTTATGGACAGAATTTCTAGGTGCAGCCAAGTTGTTGAAGGTGTCCATCTTGGTGGCCCTAGGATTGCATGTCTGCTTTTCAAAGACGATGTTGTTCTGTTGACTTCATCAAGTCATGATCTACAGCTCTCGTTGGAGTGGTTCACACTAACCGAGTGCTAACCGGCTAGGATGAGGGTCAGTGCCTCCAAATCCAACACTTTGGTTTCGCACCTGATAAAGGTAGAGTGCTTCCTCCTGGTCAGGGGGGACATCCATCCCGAAGCGGAGGAGTCCAAGTACCTCAGGGTCTTTTACCGCAGGGTGGCTGGGGTCTCCCTTAGAGATAGGGTGAGAAGCTCGGCCATCGGGGAAGAGCTCAGAGTAGAACCTCTAGGATGCCCCCTGGTCGCCTCCGTGGTTAGGTGTTCCGGGCACGTCCCACCGGGAGGAGGCCCAGGGGAAGACCAAGGACACGCTGGAGGGACTATGTCTCCCGGCTGGCCTGGGAACGGAGCTGGCGGAAGTGGCAGGGGAGAGGGAAGTCTGGGTTTCTCTGCCTCGGTTGCTGCTCCTGCGACCCGACCCTGGATAGGGGGTGGACAATGGATGGGTGGAAGGAAAACATTAATATTCCCTAATCTCCCCGTCACATTTGAGGTTTCTGTGTCATCTGTCATGGTAACGAAACACACTCCCATTAATAGTTATGAATTTATTTTAAATTTCATCCTGTGGAGAGCAGGAGTGCAGGGAAACTCTGTCTTCATTTCCTCTTTTTTTTAGGTAGGTGATTGCAAAGTGTCCCACCGTTAAGCTTTTCTGTGGCAACTTCAAGCCACAGAATGACAGTTATGGAGAAGTTATTCCTTAAATAATCAAGAATGACACATGAGGACTGTGCCTGTGACAGAAATTGTAGTGTAGTTTTGAGTGTTTTAAAGCTACTAAATATACAGTCGCCCTCAAGGACCAGAATTTGACCCAGCTGTCGGTTAGGGTGACCAAATATCCTCTATTGTCCGGACATGTCCACTTTTATAATCTGTGTCTGGGGGGGATTATAAATTCATGAAAATGTACGGTTTTCACTGTTTTTCATGGGACCATAATCGTATGCTTAAATCGACTGGCGCTTTGAATACTACAGTATTTTGTTGCCAGACGTAATTCTCGAGGGACTGCCTTGTGGAAGGGCCTAACGAGACACCCAGGGAACAAAGCAACCAGCATTGGAGACAAAATGCCCAGACGAAAATGCAGCTTCACAGACGAACTGCAAAAATAATGCCCCACCTACCATCCCGTTCGTGACAAGTGGGAGGCTGAGTGCACCGTGTGCAGAGCTGGCACATATTTTCCAGTGTCTAATAAAGACGAGGAAATCTCTAAGCCACAAGGACACTAAAAAACATTTTTTATAAAGCTGTGCGAGGTGAGAGTTCTTCTGCAAAGTTGACTGAGTACTTTTTTAGACCTGGGAAAACAGAGGATGCTATAGATCATTTTTATTTGTTGAGTTTGTATCGTTGTGAGACATTTTTTACATCAAGAGGGTATTAAGATGTATTTTGTTGAAGCTGTATTTTTAAAACAGACAAGGTCATATTTAGAACAATATTTGATTTTATTTATGTATTTTAAAGGAGGGCTATCATTTTGTTACTGGTTGTTACAAATTGTGTTATTTTTGTACCATAAAGAATGTTCTTGTACCATAAAGGTATAATAAAGAATGTTCATTAACATCTGAGAAGCCTGTCTGAATCCGTCTCGAGGATGGACAAAGTGTCTTCCCTTTTGGAAATCACTGGTCACTCTCAGTGTTGTATAGTAACGAAGTAAAAATACTTAATTACTGTACTTAAGTATATTTTGGAGTACTTGATACTTTCCTCGGGTATAAAAAACGTTGACAAATTTAACTTTTACTTCACTACATTTCCGAACTTAATTTTTTACTTTTACTCCAATACATTTTCAATGTTTGGTTTGGTTACTCTTTACAAAAATAGTGTTTTGACCCCACCTACTGATTGACTGCGACAAAGTCGGTACTTGCCTGGGCTTGTTCATCACCACTAATAGGATACACCTGTTTCCCTTCTCCCATTAAACACAAAGCCAGTCTCGCAATCAGCAGCATCCACATGGAAGAAGAGACGGAGACAAAGATAAAGACAAAGACAACAACGTCTGACTGAAGTGCTACAATAGTAGCATCTTTTTTTATCTGGTGTGATGTACACTTCATTTCAGCACTGCCTTTTTTTACGTTTTAAAGTAGTTTTAAAAAAAAGGTCTCCCTCTTCAGATGCCAAATAAGCTGCAGTTCCCTCCCAATCCTTTTTCTTTTGTTCAATGACCAGTTGTGTGTGCGCCTATAGTTTGTGAAGTACAGTAATCGTTAGAGCTTTTTTTTCCTTCATGTTGTCCTCATTTTCTGTACGGACTATTTCTTTTTAGAAAGGTTTACAAAAGAGGTTTCAAACTGGACTCCCTCTTCAGAAACTGGATAAGTTTCAGTTTTTTTTTTCTTCTTTTTTTAAGGATGGCAATAACAGTTGCAACCTTTTTTTTGTTTAATTTTTTTCTAAGTGGTGTAATTTACTTATGACCTTACTTGAAGGAAAAACTGAAGGATTACAAAAACAATGTATTTTCTGTATAAACCTGGGGGGTATACTAAGAAGCAGGTTCAGTAGTAAAGCAGGTTAGGCTAACCTTGTGGTATAGGTAAAGCATCTAATAGCAAAGCCAGGAGTCCTAATTTTCTGTCCTAACACCTGCAGGTGTATTTATTAGCAAGTTTACCACTTCCTGTGCGTTGACTAACCCTGGTTTATCACTTAACCATGTTCTTAGTATACAACCCCTAGTCTAAATTTTGCCTGCACTTGGTTGTTTGAAGTTTTAATGTGTATAGCAATGGCCTTACTTGAAGGAAAACTGAAGGCTTACAAAAAGGTTGTATTTTCTGTCTAAACTTGGTCTAAATTTCTCATGCACTTGGTTGTGTATATTATTTTAAGTGAATTTGAAAGTGACGTTCCCTTACCAAAATATTAAAAATGTCATTCAAACTGCATTTGCCTGTAACTTTTTACTTATACTTTTCATAACATTACTTGAGTACATCTATTTTTTAGCAATTTTCATACTTAAGTACAATACATTTCAGATACCTTAAGACTTTAACTTAAGTAACATTTCCGTACACACATATACACACATATACCTATACTTTTACTTGACTGAGATTTCAGTACTTTATACAACACTGGTCACCCTACTGTCGGTAGTCTGCCACCAACCGAGGGAATGATATGGCCGGTCAACTGTGAGGCCAGGAACGAAAAGGGATTATCTTTATTCTCTCATTCCTGCTCTTTTCCTGATCTTTGTACTATTGAGCCCATGGCATGTTAAATAATGTTCTGTATTAGTCCATAGTCTACCTATGTTTTCTATGTTCAACAAGAGATGGCTGCAATAGTATTTGTTTGAAAGTGGCAATTGTTCCAAATTTATTACATCTAATAGTATTTATTTGCACCTTGTTCTAGTTTCCACTAGGGTCTGATGAATTGTAATTTAGCCACGGGAAATCCTGAAACCATTTCTATTCTAAATAAGTGTCTCTTTTTGCAAGAGTTTGTGTGTTTGTATTATACACTGGGGATGTTGTTGGTATGATTTTGTGCAGTGACCGTGGTCTGAACTAAAACGTGTCGTTTCTCTTTTGCCTTGTATCGGTGCTGATGGTGACAGTAATATCCATGGCCTGTTGTATCGCTCTTCCTATCGTCATCTGAAGTCTCGGTTTCTCGGTCTGGCACTGCCACCACTTTCCCTAACTTGGAATAGTCTAGCTTCTTGAATAGAAGTAAGGTGATTCCTATAAATACCAGAAAGCCAGTTAAACACAACAGGGTGTTGTCCTTAGAATACTATAAATGTAGAAAATTGAAGCTAAAAAACAAAAAGTACGCTTATAACAAACTAACCTGAGACACAATGCCTCTGTCTGACTAACACTGGCTTACTGTGTAACTGTGTAACTGTACTGTGTACTGTGTACTGTGTACTGTGACTTGACCTTCCCTGATGATACCATCTTTATAGGCATTTCATTCCTTCATGGTAGTAAATACCCTCATATTACTGTAGTCTTTCTACTTACTTAGTGGCTTGGAGCTCTAAAAAAGAATATGATGTCTATCACATTTACACTCTGTCCTGAGTGTCCTCTCTCTTTTTTAACCTTTTTTTTGTTTCCCCTCCTGACTCTCCTCTCCCTTACTCTTATCCTCATTTGCTCTCCCCTTTTCTTTGTGTTTCCTTCTATGTCTTTTGTCACTGATGCTTACTACATACCTGTTTGAGCTTTTTGACCACCATAAGAAGACTATTTACTTAGCCAGCTTATAAGAAAAAAAGCTAAAGCTCGCTTTTCATGTTAGAAACTTGTCTTTGTTAAACAAGTGGTGTGATAAATTACTTTTTAGTCATTGGTGGGGTTTTCATCATTGGATGACACTGTTGCCGGTGAAAATATGAAGATGATGTGGGGTAGGCCCGC